TCTTGGGGGGGTGGGCGTGGGGGGATGCGCGGTTGCGGCTTGGGCATGCCAGCGTGCCATGCGATGGGCTGTGAGACTCCAGAGGCGCAACGCGGCGGGCAGGTTTTTCTGTTTATTTTATTATTGGCTTTCTTGTGGAGTGGGAAACCCTTGCAAAGACCACAAAGAGCAGCCTGGAGCGGTGTCTGAAGGGAATAACTGAAGGGAAACCCATTTCCTGCTATTAATACCGCTGCTAAAATAAGCAAGCCGTGCCCCGGACACAGAGAGGACCCCTCTAAGAATTTTAGTCCTGCACCTGGTTTGTTTATTTGTTTGGACTGGAAGGGAAAAACTTTTATCTCCTCCTGGCTGCTCCCCGGAGACAGAAATGTGATTTTATGTTTACGAAGTTGCAGCCCTTTCTGTGAGCTCCAGGTGCCCGAGGACTTGGAAGAAGTGAGAGGCAGAGTTAATGAGGTGAGAAGGAAAGCAGAAGGGAAAGAGCAAAACACATTTGTTGTAACAGATCAGACCGAAACATCTGCAGGGCATGGGCACCTGCGTGAAGTCGGGAAATGCAGCTTTTATAATTTGTCTTCTCTGTAGAAAAAGAGGAGGGGAAAAAAGAAAAGAAATCTGGAGAGAAGGAAGGGAGAGATGAATAGATGAAGATCTGGACTCATCTAAAGATTTATCTTTTTTTTTTCTTTTCTCCCCCGAGCAGTTACACAAACCTTTGGGGGGGGGAAGTGGAGCAGCGAATGAAGTCTTGCCATGTGCAGGGTTAAATGGAAACACACAATCAGACCATAACTCAGGGTGTAATTCAAGCCATACGGTTTGTCTGTCTGTTGCCTCGAAAGGTTGTATCAAGGCTTGGCGAGGGAGGGGACTGAGAGGGGATAATCCGAACTTTTTCATGATTCATAAACCACTCCTTTGCAATTTGGATAATAGAACTCTCTCTCGCGACGACTCGCTAAACTTCAGAGTTAACCGTAGCTCGCGCTCTTTCTTTCTCTCCTTTCAGGTTGTTCATCTCCAAGGAGGAGCAGCACCCAAACTGCAGGGAAATACGTCGTGCAGAAAATTAGGAAGACTCCTTTTTTTTCTTTGGAGAAGCTGATTTCCTTTGGCAAGTGGGGGACGGTGGAGAAAATGAAGCCGAGTCCACGATTTTTCTTAGCTGGTTTTCTGTCTTTGATTCTGCAGACGGCGATTTGCTATGGGATAAAATGGATGTAAGTACCTGGCTATCTCTATGCATTTTTAAAGTCTTTGTAGGCATTGCTGGTCTGTTACCCGTTTTTGCAACTGCTGTTTGAAGCACACTGTAAAGCCATTTAAAGAGCAGCAAACGCTGCATTTCTCTGGGCATTCATTGATTTCAAGTGTGTGTACTAGGGGCTTGTGCTAACAATATGTCTCCATCTTCTTTCCAAAATATGCATGATTTAGGCTCGCTTTTTCTTCTCCTCATTGATACCAAAGGAAAGGCACACACTTGAACGCTCACATGAGCCACTTAATGAAGTTTCTAGCGTTAGCTCCTGAAACGCTGGGAAACTCTCCCACCGGGACCGCTGGTCATGCTGAGTAGGAGCTGAGAGCAGTAGGGACGGCAGCTAAGATAACGCCGCCAATCTCCAACCACAGGGGATGCTTGACAGATAACATGGGTTTTTTGTGGACCTTTTAACCTTTGGATTTTGGGGGAGCCCGGGGTGGGGAGGGGAAGGAGGGTGAAGAAATACCAGGGCGTGTGGTCAAGTCTGGATCGAGTTTCCTCGGAGGTAATGTCACTGCAAACAAAGTGAAAACATCACTATCTCATTTCTTTGCTTAAGCAAGCAATCAATTAGTTGCTTACTGCAAAATAAACAAACAAGCCCCTCCAACAGCCATCTGGTTTCATGTCCTTGATGAGTGATCTGTCTTTTCTACTCGGGTTTGAAGCTGTGCGCAAAATAAATAAGGGGATGTGGGCTAGCCTCAAATGAGCATCTTCCGTAAAAGAAAAGGCACAATAAAATGCCATGCCAGGAAGAGTCTGTTGTGTAGGGTATAGTGTGTCGAGGTGAGGATCTTGGGGTTAGGTGGGGAAATTGAGACAAGAGGTTCCTGTTTTGTTCCTCCTTCTGTGCTATGTCTAATTCCCGTTCCACCGTCCCAATCATTATCATCTGAGGCTCTCCCCATGCCACCTTTTGTAAAGGCTCTTCTAAATTTGGACATCTTCAAGTTAGATGTCTTGTTGGAGCCAGGGTTTTCGCTGTCCTGCATGCAGTCATGGGAAGGAGGACCTTCCAGACGGGGATTCGCCCTCTCCAAAGAAACATCCAACACAAACGTCAAGAGATGTCCTCTGGAGATGCCGTGGACTGCAGGGAGCTGGTTGAGACCACACATCCACCTTTTATGTGCGTAAAGAGAAGCACCCCCGTAGGGTGTTTAAATGCAGATGGTCAGGTGGGAGGAATGGTCACCTACTTTAGGGCATTGAAATGTGCTGTCTCCATACTCTAAGGACCACCCTGGAAGTAGGGGAGAGTCAGGATCTGATTTGCTCTTCACCATCTTGGCTTTACACCTTGTAGCAGTCATCACAGCTGAATTACATAGGCCAGCTATTTCTTTCTGCCGGCTTCCTCGGCTGTTTAGGCTCTCAGCTCTGCATACATCCAGCACCTTGCACAGGGTGGGCATCTCCTCCCTGCAGGACATTTAGCAACACGTCCATGGGCTGGCAGAGCCTGGCCTCGTTTGCAGCCTTTATTTCCATGCGGCACAGAAATAAAGCTGTTTTGTGGCACCCTGATTCAGTAGGGCACTCATGTACGGACCCGTAACTGCGTGGAGGGGCTTGCTTATATGCTTGGCATTAGGGTCCTGCTTAAGCAAGGTGCTAAGTCCCCAGCGAAGAGCCTGGGTTCCTCTGAAGTGCAGGGGCGAGATGAGCTTCAGAGGGAACCTGATAGCACGTTGACAAGCCACAGGCACGCAAAAAGGCTGGAGGGCAGGGCAAGGTCCCTAATAGCTTTGCTGGCAAAAGCAGCCTTTCGGCCAGTAAGCGGTTAAGCTGCGAGAGTTGCTTTTGGGGATGGGGTGGGGGGGAGGCAGTTGGAGGAAAGACCCTGTCGCCACTCCTCGCCTTCCCAGCAGACGTATTCCCCCCCCGCTCCCCCCCCATCGAAAAGCGAGTGGGGAAGATGAAAGCTGGGATTAAAGTGGCATTTGAAGCATGAACTGCATCCAGATGCGCCGCGGGGCTCCCCTCACACCTGTTTAAAACCTGGCGGAGACCTGTACTCCCTGTCCCAGGGCACTTCGCGCAAGTGGGATACTGCCAGCTGGGATTTCACAAAATTATGATGGTGTGGGGTTGTTTTTTTTTTCATTTGCAGTTCTTCCTCCCTTCCCTACCCTTGTTTTTCCATGGAAACACAGGCCAATTTCTCCCCCACACACTCCCCATCACTCTCTTTTCCCCGCTGCAGTGGTGCTGCCATCCTTGGGGCTAGGGGACCATCCTTGGGAGTCGCGTGGGTAAACTCTTGGCGAACGGAGATCGATGCTACCGAATGCCGAGTAATACCTCGGAGCTGCAATCCCAGCCCCGGACTCACGCGCTGGGCACTGTACGACCAAGCCCTGCCCCTTCCCTCTCGTGCTCGTGAATGGTGGTGGGGGGGAAAGGACGGGATGAAGAGGGAGGAAAGTGCTACGAGATGTTTTCGGTCGTGGGCTTGTCTCAGCGGTCTGCTCGCTGCGCCGTTGTTGTAGGCGTGGTGCCAGAGGCGAGCGTCGAAGAGTATTTGGGAGGGGAAAGATAAGGAGGTGGGTTTTGCCAGCCTGGCGGGCTGGGTTTGCAAGCCTGAGGAACAGGGAGCGACTGACATGGAAAGCGATAGGAAATTCAATTTTGATTCAGAGCGTGATGTAATTGCAGGGGGAGGGGGAGAAGAAAAACACACATTTCAGCCATTTAGGACTTCCCTGTAACGCGAATATCCCCTGTAAATTAGTAAAAGTGGGGAGAATGTAAAAGGGAGCTATTTGTTTTATTTTATTTGGCTTATTTTTATGAGTTCTGTGGTCCAGATCACCAGCTGTTGTAAATCGGCACCGTGCCCTTCCCTGTCATAGTGGCGTGCGCCGCCGAGCATCCAGCGTGGTGCGTGAATGGTCAGCATCTCATAAACCTCCTCTTGCTGCTGGAGAAACTTCATATTTTGGCCTCTTCCATCCGAGCTCCGGGGAGCTGCTCAGGTGCAAAGTCAGGGTACGGACAGATCTTTGCAGGATCAGGGCTGTCGTGGAGAGGCAGCCTTTCCCTTCAATGCCTATGAGCCCCTGAGTCTTACTTTTGCACGTTGCTTTTTGCAAACGCTTTCCCATCCTTAGAGCAGGGGGTTTTTGCATCGCTTTGTGGTCCTCAGTGCTTGTTTTGCGTTACAGCGGCTGGGGAGATGAGGCAGCCATCGGTTTCAGTGGGAGACGTCTTAGGGCCAATGCGTGTAGGAACTCCATCGCCTTACCCGCCTCCTTTTGCACCCCCTTTAGCTTTCCTAGGAGGGCTTGGGTTTGGCCAAGCAGGTTGCTGAAGCAATTCGTTTGGGTAGAGCTGAAAAATAGATGGGCACTAGAGGGAGCTGCGGCCAGATGTGCATGCCGCAGAGGTCTGCAGATGTTGGGTTGTCCAGGCACAGAGTGGCTTTCGAGGCACTTCTGCCTCCTCGGGAGTTGGCATCTCCTCTGCCCAGGCGCCAAGACACAGGTTGGACTGTCCCTCTGTGTTGAGTGTCACCTTCAACGCAAAGAGTGGTTGTAAAGGAGCCAAATGCAGCAAGTGTTTTCTTTGCGTGGCTTGCAGGATCAGCCCATGACAGCAAGTGGTGGTATTAGGAATTCCATCATTTTTAGATGGAGCTTGGTCCCTTTGGGAAGTCCCTGCCTGTCCCTGTTGTGGTGGTCTGGACATGCCCCGTGCCCTCTGGAGCCATTCCTAGCTGAGCACCGTTCCCAGCTACGAGGTCAGCTTTGCTGCACAATTCCCATGGTTAAATCACAGCCCTTCAGGAGCAAAAGGTGGCTCAACCGTGCATTTTGGTGAACGCGGGATGTCCCCCAGCTCACCGACCTCGAGCAGCACCGCAGCCTTTCTGCAGCCAGCAGAAAGCAGGGGAGAAAATGGAAAGATTTTCTGCTTCCCAGCAGCTCCTGCTTCTCTCCTCCAGCCGGGGGGGAGGTGGGACATGGGGGCACGGGCGCCTGCGAGGAGACCGTCTGCCTGGCAAGGGGGCTGCTAGATGAGCTGCCGTGAAAGGACTGCAGGACAGGGATGGAGGGAGTGGAGCGGGCTGTGGGCGAGGAGAGGGGGGGGACACAAAGGCTTTGAAGTTTGCTCTTCGCTCCGTAGGCAGCTCGGGAAAACTTGACAAAGCCCCACGGCCTTCCTCGGCGCTCGGTGAGCCAACTCGCCGCTGGCATCGACTTCAGTCGAGCTCGGGCTGGAAGTCAATGGCCTTGTGCCCGCTACTGCCAGCACTGGATTTGGCACCGTATCTGAAAGCAGCTCTTATTTTAAGCTTTTACTTCAGGGTTGGTTTTTTTCCCCCCCACTCCTCTCCCTCTTCCTCCTCTTTCTTTCTTTTATTTTTTCTTTTTTGCTATATAAATCCCACTTCTCTGTTTTGAAAAGGCTTTGCAGAACCACTGAAAGCGTTTACCAGGGGACGTGGTGGCTTTCCCAGTGCTTGTGGTCCCCAGGCCAGGACTGATGCAGGGCCGGGTGGCAGGGCCACGGGCTGCCTCTGACTACCGCGAGCTTAGACAAGGTTATTGTAACAGTCCTGTGAGCCTCTTCCAGTTGAAAACCTGAGAAAATGAGGCTCCTGCAGATAAAAAACCTTCAATGGGATCAAATGCAAAAATAACCCCAGTCCCTGCCTCTCTTTTATTAAAGTTTACCACACACTTCACTCTCCACAGCCGTGTAATTTTGTCTAAATCTTTTTGTTTCACCCAAATCCCTGGCAGATTAAGGGGTTTAAGAAAAGGCATAAAAACAAGAGTGCCTTCGCAGAAAGCAAAGCAGACAATTTGGAGCAGAAGTTCGTGGTTGCACCAGCAGTCCCGCTGTGAGACCTTCTTGGGTCATATCACACAAGGGACGATGGGGAGATGCCCTCCAGAGAGCGCCCACATCAGAAAGAGGGGAGACCCTTCCACCCTTAAAGGGTGTTTTAAAGGGCACCAGTGCGGCACCGCTCAATTCAAGGAGTTTTTCTCCTTTTGGCTTGACCAGGAGCAGTGTCCTACGCACAGTGGTCCTTGTAAACCAAACCCTGTATGGCTTTCATTGATGTCTGCTCAGATCTGAAGGTACTTCTCCCAAGCTGCTGCTCCTATGAATAGTCTTCTCATGGAGCCCAGATCTGCAGGAATGGGCCCATACCTCTCCAAGGACCTAACACTGTAGAGCATTCATGTTTTCAAATGAATTTATTAACTGCCTGAGATAATTAAAAGAGTAAACGAAAGTCATGATCCATTCATGCATCATATTTCCTCTGTAATTACGTTTATGGTTTTCTGTCAGTATCCATAACTTCAATTAAAAGCCCTGCTATGCTATATATAAAGCAGGAGATGTTTAGTTTGGGGCCTGTTTATTTAAAGGGATGGGTCAAATATTTATATTTAAAAAAAAAAAAAAACAACCACCTCTCAGTTGTCCTCAGCTTTCTGGAGAATGAAGGATGGGGCAGGAGAGTCAAGGGAGGAGAGCACGACGCTAGCAGGAGGAAACGGTGAAAAAGCAGCATTTATGGGATGGCAGCAGGTAAAATCCCCACATGCTGCTTCTTGGATGAAGGGTGTGAGTCCAAAGAAAGATGTCTATCAGGGATTTTTTTTACCAGATTGAGGACTAAACGTTGTTCTTCCCTGAGGGCTGCTTTATTCAGGCTGGCCGTTTCCCTTCCCAGTGCTGGTGGTCAACGGAGACTGGGTGGAGATGGGATAGAGACCCACCACCAAATCCCACCGCGGACGAGACTTTTCTGGGGGAAGGTGATTTCCTTCCCACTGCCCCACGAATGGACTTTGTTCCCCAGCAATGTCCTTTGCAGGCGGTGGGCATCCCTCCCTGGTGCTGCCGGAATTTAGGGAGCAGGGAGGGTTGGTGCCTTGCCACAGGTTTAAAGCGACAAGGGGTGGAGAAGACATTTCTGAATGTAGGACAGCGACTGAGCAAACCTGGGCTGTCAGGGCATGGACTAGATGACCTAATAGGCCTCTCACATTCCTGATCTGTGATTTATAAATGCACTTTTCGGTCTCGGCAAGCGACTCCAGTAACTGTGAGTTTTCTTTTCCATCTCCATTACCCTTTACTTTTTCCTCCCGACGCTTGGAGATGTTTCCAATTATAGGTTCTCACAAGCAAAGGCATGAAGTTCAGGCCTGGGAGATGTTCAGAAAACACCTTCCTGCGTCTTGCATTTTTATTCTTGGCGGGCTCCCTGGAACTCGGCTCATTCGATGAGAAACAGCCATTGCTGCCATTTACTGAGTTCTCCCCAATGGGGCCACGGTCCTTCCTCTCTTGACTGTCTGGCAGATACTTTTCCCTCTTCCACAAAGCAGATTTCTTTCTTGTTGCATTATAAATCTGCTTCTCTAATGGTGATCATTTCAGGCCATCTGTAATAACACGATCTCGTTGTATCACATCCCCTTTTTTCACGATGGGGATGAGTTTGAGTCTGAACTCAGCTCTCATCCCAACTTGTAGGTGGTTATTTCTACTGCTCCTGACTCGTCTGTAATGGTTGCAGGTGCCTCAATGTAAGCTTCCAGGTCCTTTAAAGATGCCAAAGGCCTCTATACAGGATTAGAGAATGTGGTGCAGGACCTAGGAGATGTATGCATCCTTCTGGAGGGCCAGGTGAAACATCCCAAGACCTCTCAAGCGTCACTTGGCACCTCTGATTAGAAAACTGAGCTGGTGCCCCATAGTACCGTATCTCTCAGAGACCTGGAGCATTCCTCGTTTGCCTGAAGCTCAGGCTGTGAAGCTCTCTCATTTCATCTGCCTCGCCCTGCCTGCTTATTTCGCTGCTGGGACGTACTGTGCTGGAGTATTTATCATTTTTACTCTATTAACGACGAGCTGCTTTGGCCTCTTGCCTGACTTGCATTTCAGCCCATTCCTGAGAGTTGCTGATAGGCTTTCTGGGATAAGTTTTCACAGGTTTCTGGTGCCAAGTGCTAGGGGTTGGACTCATCTCACCCAGCACTGTGCTTATACAGTCCAGATGTCTGCATCCGAGCTCGGTACCTGGGTTCCCTCTATAGCCAGAGCAGAAAATGAGCACATCTTATCCTACCGTAGATCTTAAAAGCACATCAGGCTAATTACTCCCTAGATGTGGCTTTTTCTTTGCATGGGCTGAAGAAGGACCCTGAAGGACTACCATGATGTCCACACTGTAGAGGTTTGCAGCCAGGTGACATTCGTACTGTCCCAAGACTCATGCCTCTACCTTCAAGGACATGATATATCTGAGATACGTGCGCACCCAGAATATCACCAACAGGTTTCGTCTCCACCAGCTCAGGTCCAGCACTGATTCACATCTAAGGCAGGATGAGTTGCCTTCTGGAGGTGCTCCTCTCCAGACAGGGAGCGTTGCAAGGAGCAACAGCGTGCAAGGGACCGAGATGAACTACAGGGCAGAATTTCTGACAATTAAATACTCGACTTTTTCCTTTCCCTTGAAATTCACCGGCCAGAACTTCTGTTCGCTGTATATTTAATGGACCTCTTTAAAATATGTGTATGATGTATATATTTACATAGCTAGCAGAGTGGTGGTTTCCCTTCCAAGTTTGCCCCTGATTATCTAGCGCCAGAAATGCCAAACTCCAGCCGCCTGGGAATTTGTCAGTGCAGACCTACTCAGCCCTAGCAAGGATCGTAGCTTTTCCCTGCTGGAAGAGCGGTTGGGGTTAGCAGTTATGCGCAGCCCAGAGAGAGCTCCAACATACACAGCAGCTGGTTCAAGCCAACCTTGAGGGAGCCGGTGGAACATGGATGTGTTTTCCTGAAAACCGAGATCAGAGCTAATACCCCTGATCTTGGTTAGAGCTCAATTTTAGCTCCGTTTCCATCTCATTTAACTTCTGAAGGATGTGGATGTTACAGTAATAAAGTGAAATGCACCCAGAAATGTGTCTGCTAATAAGCCAAACTAACCAAGATGGCTTAGGATGAAACTGAAAGGCAACACATTTAACAAGGAGAGAAGGAAATATGTGTTAAGGCAGTTGTGTTGCCAGGATCAGATGCCAGTTACTGATGCAGCCAGCTAGAAAGTTGTTTTATGGGAATGAATAACATTTATGACTACCCTAAGCAGGTCATAAAGATACAAAGAGAGTTACACACCAGGCTTCTGCTGATCGCTGTGGGTGCTTGGGGAAGAAGAGCACAGCCCGGTACGATGCATGGCAGCATTTGCTTTTTGCTTTTTTACCTGGAAACATTGGAAATTGCACACTAGAAGAACCAATGGGGTCTTCAGGGTGTTGTTGGTTTCTTCCATGGTAACATAAGTGCTGGTGCTAGTGGATCCCTTCCCAGTTTTGACCATGGTACTCTCTCTGCACATGCTCTCATCGTGCTTCTGCGCTACGTTTTTGGAGACTAGAGAAACAGACTTATCTACGTGCAACAGTGATGGAATTGGTGGAGGCCCTTGGCATTAACTCTAAGGGAAAGCATCTGTTTTGCAAACTTGGTGGCTTTTCCCTAGGCCTTGCAGGGGATTTTCTCCATAATTAATTACATGACATTTAGCATAATCCTTGGAGAGTGTGTGAGACAGATGCTGAATGCAAAACACTGATAACACCAACTTCACTTTTTTTTCTTCCTGAATACCACAGTCTTGGAAGATCCAGCTTTCTGTTATCGTGGAACTGATGGGTCATTTTTCACTCTGTTGGGAGGTCCCTCCTCTTCATTCTTCAGCAAAAAACCTTCCCATAAGGATTTACACATTCAGTCAGCTTGGCATATGCCCCAGGAGCTTTGTCCAGGCTCCCCTAGATGATGGAGAGAAATGCGCACTTCTAGAGGGTGTTTCTTCCCACCTACCTTAAACACCTACTTTAGATGAGATAAATCACTCTTCATAGTCGCCCATCTTTCTCACCAGCTTAAACTAAGCACCTATTGACAGGTAGCTAAAATTAAGTCAGAAGAACACAGGCCAAAGCATTCACTGGACTGGAGGTAGTGGAGAAATTAATATTGACCTGAAGGTTAACTTTTTTGTGGGTTTTAATGCCTTTTTGCATGTGCTTGTCTCCTCAGAGCTCTGTCCAAGACTCCTTCGGCTTTGGCCCTGAATCAAACCCAGCACTGCAAGCAGCTCGAAGGCTTGGTGGTTTCCCAGGTGCAGCTGTGCCGCAGCAACCTGGAGCTAATGCAGACCATCATCCAGGCGGCACGGGAAGTGATAAAGACCTGCCGTAAAACTTTCTCAGACATGCGGTGGAACTGCTCTTCCATTGAACTGGCTCCTAACTACCTGCTGGACTTAGAGAGAGGTAAACAGCACTGCTGGCTCAGCCGGGGACATGAGTGAGTAGAGTCAGCCAGTGTGTGTGTATGCGAGCTGGGGCTGGGAAGGGTCTTGCTACCAGGGGGAACGTGGAGGGATTACATAGCCTAGTTGTCATGTTCTCTGAGACCATGTTCATCGTTATGGTGCCAGTCATGCCCAGGAGCTCTCGAGTCCAGGACCTGGTCTCCCACGGCTCTGACAAAGCATGCCACCAGTCTGGTCTGCTCGTCTCATTAGGAGTCATGGTGCACTTGCTCACAGCCATGGAGCTGCTGGTCAGGGCATGCAGACTTGTCAAGCAGCACACACTACGCGTGAGGCTGCACAGTCAGCTTTCATGGGTCAGAGCATCCTTGCACGCTCATGCCGCAGCTCTGTGGCCTCCCACCACCTCCGCCAGCTCCATGCATGCCAGCTCCATGACCTGCCAGCAAGCAGCATCCAGCACGGGGTCAAAAGGAGGCAGGAGAGTCCATGGGGGGGACTTCTTCACATGCTCCAAGAGCGGATCACACCACGATGGACAAGTTGCATAAGTCCATGTGCCTCCTTGCCCTGCTGGGATGTTGCCTCGTGTTGAAGAGCTCACTTAGGAGATGTGTTCCAAGCTGGTGATGCCATGGGAGGTCTCAGCTGCAGTGAGTTGGTGTGTTTGCTGCTCTGTGGGCACAGATTGTGTGAGTCTCTTTTTGGGGAACGTTTAGCTGTCCCAGGAGGCTGAGCTGGAGTTCTTGTCTCTTCCAGGCACAAGGGAGTCAGCATTTGTGTATGCCCTTTCTGCTGCTGCCATCAGCCACACCATTGCCAGAGCCTGCACCACCGGGGACCTCCCTGGCTGTTCCTGTGGTCCCATCCCAGGTGAGACACCTGGACCTGGGTATCGATGGGGAGGATGTGCAGACAACCTCAACTATGGTCTTATCATGGGGTCCAAATTTTCAGATGCTCCCATGAAGATGAAAAAATCAGGATCACAAGCCAATAAACTGATGCATCTGCACAACAGTGAAGTAGGGAGACAGGTAACAAATCCACGAGAGTTATTGTAATTGTACAATCCTCTGTAGTGGTCGGTCGCTCTGTGAGGTTCAGTGTCTCTATCAGCTAGCAAAAGGAGCAGGTTTCTCCCAGATTGCTCTGAACTCCTTTGGCCTGCTGAAGACTGTGGCTATATAACTCAACGCTGGGACTCAGGAGGTCCTGAATGCTATTATCAGCCCTATATAACCGTGGGTGGGATGTCTCATTGCCACCCTTTCCACAGCCAAGGATGGCTCTGGCTTGCTTACCCCAGCAGGTGTGGTGGGGATGGGTCCCGTCGTGCTCTGCCAAGGGCGTTGCACAGGCGAAGTGCCGTGTAAGTGTGGAGGATTATCATCTGCCAGACACATCCAGCAGCAGCTGCCTCCCAGCCACCCCTGCAGCCAGGAGGGCTGATTTTTCCTTTTCAAACTGCTTCGCTAGCGATTATTCCCGTATCTGGCAGAAGCCGCTTTTAACAGCTTGTGTCTAGTGGAGGGATAATGCTAACCATGCGCAGTGCTTGGTGTGCACCGAGGCGCAAAACCCCATCGCAGCCCTCCATGCAGCTGGAGAAATGGGTGGGGGACTGTAAAGCTGACCCCTGCCCCCATCTCCGGGGCTGCAGCGGTTCCCTAGGCTGGTCCTACCGCACAGCTTAGTCCTTCCAAGGGCTGCCTGTGCTTGGGGGTTGGAGCGGATAAAACTTGGAGCCTGTTGAGCTCATTGGCAGCTGACTGTGCAGCCACAAGCTGAACTCACCTTTGCAGAGCACAACCATGCCGAACTTGCCTCCCCTGGGTGTTTTTCTCTACCGTTCCCACTCTATCTGGTTTTTTTTTTTATTTTCGTAATGTCTTGAGTTTTTGTTTTAATTGCAATGGGCACATTTTTGTTTGGGACATAGCGTTGCCATGGCTGGTGCATTCACCCCTTCCTGGCAGCGTCCTGCCATGTCCTACAGAAATGAGAGTAGTGCAGAACCAAAGTAAAAGGCTATTTTGGCCCCATGGCCAGCAGAAAGGCAGGGTGAGGGTGCTCTGAATTCATCGGAGCCTTGACATCTCTGTTGCCCAAAGCTGCTGGAGGCAGAAATGGATGTTAATTATCTATTTACGGATTGCTTTGATTTTCAGCTCCTTAGGAATTTAGAGGGTGGAAACGCAGCCCTATGTAGATATCTGATCAAAATTCAAAATACTCTTCTGTCTGCTGGCCGCAAAGGTGCCTTGGTGAATGTAATCCTGGGCTGATCGTGATCACCAAGGAGCTGTGGGATCTCATTCCCTTTGCACAGTAGCTACTCTAGAGTGACTGTGCAGAAATCAGAGCAGCAGTCCTTTCCTACAGCAGTCCCTGCTAAGAAAGTGCCTTCTTTAGCAAGCTTGTGGGTTGTTTGGAGGTAAGAGAAGGGCATGTCCTAACTCCTGCATTCCTTTTCGCAGGTCTTGAAAGCCTCTCTTGAAATGAAATGTAAGTGCCATGGAGTTTCTGGGTCATGCTCTATCAAGACCTGTTGGAAAGGCCTTCAAGAGCTGCGAGACATTGCATTGGACCTCAAAAACAAGTATTTATCAGCCACCAAGGTCGTTCACCGGCCCATGGGCACACGCAAATACCTCGTGCCAAAGGATATTGATATCAGGCCGGTTAAAGAGACGGAGCTGATTTACCTGCAGAGCTCGCCCGATTTCTGCATGAAGAACGAGAAAGTGGGGTCGCACGGGACCCAGGACAGGTGAGGGTTTCTGCAGCGGGTGCTGACTAAGCTCTGAGCCCCAAAGAAGGAAGGGGGAGAGGGGAACACGTATGAATAAGAGGCAAATAACTGGGGAGGTAGCACATGCATGCAGGTAAAGGACATCTCTAACATACGAGGTAGCACATGCATGCAGGTAAAGGACATTAACATACAGTGTGGTCTACAGATGCCCAAGCCTATTAGTGGTGGCTGTGGCCAAGACAAGGCTGCAGACACCCTTTGCGTTATACAGGCAGGCACAAGATACCTTTTGAAATGCCCTAAGCGGCTCACCTCTGCGGAAACTTGTAATGATCCGGCAGCTGGTTTTTACTGTGTTGAGTCTCTCTACGTCATTTCTTGCAGTCATTGCTGATGTGATGAGTTGTTACTCTACTTTAAGGCTCCTCTAAGTAGGCAAGTGTTAACCCCATTAGGACCAGTGCTCCCAGGCAGCCTTAAAAAAGCCCTGTAAACTGCAAAGGTGAATTTTTAGGATTTTTCTTCCACTGCATTTTAAAAATCCAGGTGTGTTTGTATTGCTCATGTCTGTGCAGAGAAATTTCTTTATCCCATAAATATTAGTGATTTAAGGTCATCATGCCCAACCTCCGCTGGGGACAGTGCTGTCCCTTTCACAGGCAGCAGACGTGCCTGTCTCTTCCCAGGATCTGTTTAATTCCCTCCAAGACAAACCAATTCCACGTTTCAGCAGTCTGAGCATCTCCAGGTGGGCAGCAGACCCTTCGACAGCCAAATAATTGTGTATTTCCAGGATTTTGCAGAATTTCCAGATTTTTTTGTTAGGTGGCTGCAATGGCTGGATTTCAAGCTGCCTCAGTTGCTGTCTGCTGGCTTGGCTTTCTTCAGAAAGTTCTCATAATTCTTCTTTGCTCTTTGTGTTACTTTGTGGTGGAGACTCAGACAGTCAAGCTGCAAGGAGCATGCGCCTGCCCTTTTGTGGGGTGTCTTCATTTTAACTCTTGTTGGACATAGTGGTATTTGGACCTCTTTGGTTCAATGGAGAGAAGGTTTTGCTGTAATGGAAATGAAGTAGATGACCCAAATGCAGAAAAGATACTCTTTGGATACCTTTGATTCATACAAAGTATTTGGTGAGGGGACTTCAGAAGATATCCTTTGGCAACGGCCATTTAATCTGGAACCACAACTCTGTAGACAATATATGAGCATTTATCCGGTGGAGCTGATCAGGAGATGAGGACAGTTGAGTGAGACAAGTGTGTCCTTTTTGTCCTCTGAGGTTTTGCGGCAGTTACAGTTTTGTATCCTCCATTAGGACCAAAACCAATGGTTGGACTGCTCTACAACAGTGTTTATCTGGCAGCTCTGTGGTGGGAACACCAGGCTGATGTTCATCACCGGCCCAGCAGTGGAGCAGTAATTAGCAAGTGAAGATGTTTATGGGTCACTGAGGATTGTAGGGAAAAAGCATGCGTTGAAACTGGTTTCTGAGGGAAAATGTCATTTGAGTGGAAGCGATGGTTTTGTGGATTTGTATGGATTTTGACAAATTGGTGTCTTGAAAAAGACCTCTTTGTTGTGTCATTTTGTTTTGCAACGAAAAAATTGTGGAGGTTATTTGGAAATTAGTTTTATAGGAATTGTGTGAAGTCAACAGGTTGTGTCAAAACCAGACTGAATTCATTACAGATTTGCCAAGTAAAACATTTTCCATGTGCTGAAATCCTTTTAAGGGGGAGGGAGGCGTGACTTCTTCTTCATCTAATTTCATTTTACAGCAGATTTTGCCTTTGTATCCCAGCTAAGGATGAAAAATGTGTCAAGGCCTTGAATGATTTTTTTTTTTTTCTTCTGAGGACAGGAAAATGTGTATTGCAGGCGTCCCTTTATCCCGAGCTGGGCGACAGCAGTGATTGTGAGCCTGCCAGGCGAGGGTCCATGGGAAGTGAGATTGAGTGAGGATTTAGAGCACCCAGATACTAAGCCAGGATGGGATGACTTTCAAAAGGAACCTGTCAAGAAATACTACTTATTCTCAGATGTACAAGACGGTGATGGCCGTGGGAGGGGAGGAGGGCGAGATAGTCCCGTGTTGAGCTGCAGGCATCTCTCAGGCCAGCTTTTAAGGTCATGCCTAGTGACACTCATTTTCATCGCAATCCATCTGCCAGCTCTTGAGAAGATGCCTGGTGTCTCAAAATTGGCACGTGTAACACAAGCCATAGCAGCCCCTTTTCTGTATTAAATTAGCAGAGGAAATAAGTGTAAAATGCGCACAATGTGCTTGCAGATCGGTCCGTTCTTCCTGGGGGGAGCGGGGAAAAGGAGGGGAGCTTCCCTAACCTCCTCCTCCCGTGGATGCTTTTTTCCCTTCTCAATTTTTCTCTCACGGAGAGGACATCTAAATGTGTTTTAAACGCGGTGGCTCTGTTTCAGCCGGCCCTGGGGCTGCAGAGATAGCGGCTAATGACAGGGATGAGGGAGAAGGGACACAAAAGGGATGCTGTTAGAGAGGGCAGGGAAAAATGTGTTTCAAGCTTACTCCGCAAAGATGTAAAAACACTCGCATGGAAATAGCCCAAACAGGTTTTTATTTTATAAGTCAAGTCCCGGAGGCATCTTAACATTTTATCCTTGTGCACATCAAAATTTTCTGGGGAGAGATCCCACTGTTTCCTACTAGGCTAATTTTTAAGGTCTTTTATGGCAAATGCAATCAAAAAGGGATTTTTCGTGGTGGTCCCTCAGTTCATTTCTTCTCTTCTCTTCTTCCACCACCTGCCTATTCCCTCTTTGGCCTTTTTCTGGCCACGAACATGGGTGCAGGGATCAGCCCAGGGGATGTTACAGTGCAGACCCCTCTCACCACGCTCCAGAAGATCTTGATCTGGGCAGCTTCAGCAGCTTTCCAGCCCCACTTTCTGCCTCCAGAGGGGTGCAGAGAAGACAGGACCCCATTAACATCCCCTTTTCGTCTTACTGGATTAAAAAAATTCAGAGTGCTGCATTTTCATTACAAAAATTGAGTAGTTTTGCATCATATGGAGAAAAAGTCTTTTCCCGCCTCCTGCTCCCCCAGGTCTGGTGCTCGCTCAGAGCACGCTGGAAGCAGGACAGAGGTTGATGGCTCAGTTGCAACACCTTGGACGTATTGGGTTTCAGTGTATGCTGCAGGGAACAATCCTGCACTGGCAGGTGGGTGGAAGGGATAATCTAATCGGTGGCTTCCATCTCGCTAATTATCCCTCGCATTATGCGGACTTATTGTGTATTTTTCAGGCAGGAAAGGGAATTAAGTTACCTTGTAGTGGAACCGCGTGAAAATCCACTCGGAAAACGTGCACCCGGTTACTCGAAAGCCTTTCAGAGCTCTTTGCTAAAAGGATTTCAAAGCCTTCTTCGGAACAAGCCTGAAATGTTTCCTAAGACACTTTGGCCTTTCTTAGTTTGTTGAAATTAGAAATGGTTTGGAAATCTGCATGCCTCCAAGCGCTTGGGGTGTATCCAGATTTCAAAGTCAGGGAGCTGAACCTGAACCCGAGATTTGAAGCCTCTTTGAAGTGCTCAAAATCTGATTAAGGAGCTGAGTTTTGCAACCGGCGTCCAAGGCTCCTGCAAACAGGCTCGCTGCAACCGCAGCTCTCATTGACTCCAGCCAAACTCCATGTGCTTATATGCCACCATCCCACTTCCATAGACAATAAAAAATGGTCTGGAGAAAAATCTAAAGAAGCTGATCTGTGGAGCAGCAAGTGGATTGTACAACTTTCAGTACAACAGATTTAACCACTGGGAAAAAATGTATATGTTCCCGTTTCAGAGCTTTCTTGGACAAAAGCACCCTACAGCTCATCTTTTAACAAGGTAGTTCAGTTTCTCCTGCCTGAAAAATTCGTTATCAGCTTCGAGTAAATGATAAATAATAGCAGATTATAAAATTGAGACCTCTTTTGTGAGAAAAGAAGCAAAAGTATTAACCCTCTTTATCAGTAGGTTGCAATGTATCGTATTTCAAAGGCTGTTTAAGGTCCCCTAAGGAATCCAAGGAAAGGGAAATTCTGCCATGCGTGCAAAAGCCTCCAGCCCCTGAAGCCTTGCGGAGATAACTGAGCTGTTTATTACTGATCTGTCCCAGAGCAGTCTTGGAGCCAAGTGAACGCTGCTTCCTCCCTGCTGAAGATGGGAAGGAGCTCTCTTACGCTGCAGAAATCGGGCTGCACCGTTGCGCCGCAGCTAAGCTGGGTTGATCAGCCACTGCTCCTTAGCTGACGCACTTTGGCAACGGATGTGGCCATTCTTTGGTGGTTGCTCTTTGCTCACTTATTCGTTCTTTTCTGCAATATAAAATATTAGTCTTAAGTGTCTCCCAAGGTGTCTTAGGCTGGAATGTTTTCTTGGAGAGGAACACGCATGAAGTTAGCTAAGCGTGCATCTGCTGCTGGGGGGTGACTGCAAAGACTTAGAGGCTTTGGCATCTTTAGTGCCTCTTTGACATCTCGGTGATCCCAACAGCAGGGCTGATCAAGTGCTGCAAAGAAAGGATACAGTGGTTTTCAGTGTTCAATGGCAGCCCTTGATACCACTTGTTTCCTGCCACGCCAAAAAATACGCTTTGCATTGCGTGATTCTGTGGGCTATGAAATTTCTTAGCAGAAGCACTCATATTTAGATGGGGAAGAGTGGTAGACAACATGGGTAGACAACAGCATTTGGTGTTTGTTTTTGTTACAGCCTCTTTTAGTTTCTGTCGCTCAGTGAGGGCACAAGAAGCAATATGATGAACTTTGGCTTTGAGTAGGTTATAATCTGTATGGCGATTTAGTAATTTGTGGAACTGTTATAAGGTGTGCCACTCTTTTTTCATGGGATCCAACAAATGATGACAACAAATAGCAAATAATTCTTCTGTGAGTGTCCCAGAAGTTTAAACTGGAGGAAATTAGACATTGAGGTGCTGGAGCGTGTCCAGAGAAGGGCAACAAGGCTGGTGAGGGGTCTGGAGAACAAGTCTG